TTTATTATCGTAATTTCTATTAAAATGCATATTTCAATTAATTTTTTTTCAATCGATGGAGAATTGATTAAGAAAGCCTATAATATATAAAAGTCGATAGAATTAAGGAATTTCGAGCTATATAGGTTCAAAAAAAAAGAAAAATTTAGAAATGCGGAAAAAAATCTCGATTTCAAAAGTTGTGCTGGGAACCCCAGTGTGTATAGCTAGGGTTAATTATTTAAAATATTTATATATCTTTACATTTAATTTCAACTGTTAATTTTATGTACAGCAGCTTTTAGTGTGTACTAATCTAAGTCTGTTTTCTGTGATTGAATTAATGTACACTTTTGGAATTTAACTTGCATTAGATTAAATCAGACTATGCATTGAAAATTGAGATTGAAAAATTGAAATTTGACCAATCTAAACAATAGGAGCTAAAATTCCTTTGTCTTCATTAAATTTCAATCAACAATCTTTAATGCATAGTCTGATTCCTTACACTAGAACTCTCTTTCTCGCTTTAGATAAATATCAAATGTATATCTTATGTAAGATAGGTATATATTTGATATTTGTCTAAAACAAGAGAATTCTAGAACAATCTAATACAGGAACAGAAAACAGACCACTACCTAATGCATAACCGAATTCGTTTTATAATTGTGCTTTATTAATTTGAGATCCGATTTAGAGGCAGACGTCAGAGAAACGTTTTTTTCCTTCTGTCAGCGATAGAAACTATTATCGCAGGTGGAGGCATCCACGTTGCAAGGAACTTTAAAAAAAATGGCGGGAAAGAGCCGTCATCTAATTGGCGCGGTTTTGAGAGAACGACGATGTCGTTTATCAGAACGGGAACACCTGTCCTTCATCCCTCGTTACTCGCGAAGGTTTCACGGATCCGCGAACAGGAGTTCGACAATATGAACAACCGGGTGGCGAACGTTGCGTACCTTCAGTAATCGCGCCTCGGCGTCGAGAATATGTTGCTCGCTGCTTGGCGTCGGTTGTTTCTAAAACCACAGGACCTCCATTTCGGGTCCGTAAGCGATAATAATTGGCATATCACAGGCATGCGGAGCAGCTATCTCGCTGAACGCGTTGCCAAACCGACTGTTTCACTCGCGCCGACAATTAGTTACATGCACTGAACGAAGTATTCATCAACATACACCACAAACACTACACAATCAACACTTTCGCGTTTACACCGCGTCGTCCGCGTTCCGCTGCTCACTTCGCGCTACTTGACTTCCCTCCGAGAACAATGCTGCCAATACTGTCGCGTGTAATTTTCTGCCCACATTCCAGGCTGTATTCGTTTTGGCACTCATAATGCTTGTGAGCTAAAGCCTAGTGTACCTTCCAACAAACGACACAAATGACACAATGGATTATTACATACTTGTTGTTTGCCAATATTAAACAAAGACATGATCACTGTGTCGCATTGTGTCGCTTATTGGAAGGCACACCTAAGGTTTGTTCGCGTTGCATGCTTCAATGTGCTCCAATACGCTCATCATAGCTTCTACTCACTCCAATGCGCTCATTAAAGCGAGTAGGAACAATGGTAGGAGCATGTTGGAGCATGCGACGCGGACAAACCTCTAGATACCAAAGCACCGCAGGTTCTCCATTTTAGATTTACTAACCATACGCTACATCAATAATGCTACACGTTTATTGGACTACAAACAATTAAAGCGAAATGGCGATCGAAATAACCAATAGGAAGGCTGTCGGCATTTCGGCTCAGATAAAAGGAATTCTACTTTGGTATCTAGAGTTTTATTGTGAGCATCAATTGTTCTTATTTAATATTTAATAAGTAATAAGGAAAATGATGCTTAAAGCGTTGTGAACGCCAGAGCGAACACAGTCTCAATCACACATCCGTTTGATCACATAAAGTTCATGGATTATTTTCAAAATTTCTAGGGATTCTTTTATAAGAAAATGAGAGATAGGCTTTAAACATAATAGGCACAGGCAAGAGACACAAGGAACAGGGAATAACGAGCTGTCCAATCAGAGCTCTGGGATGTAATATCGAACTTACATACCAGAGCTCTGATTGGATGACTTATTATACCCTATTGCCTCTATATATATCTTCAACAAACCTTCCACAAACACCTGTGCACAATGATATTTTCGTGATATATCGATAATATATCATCTTAAGAATGATATTTATGCTTTTTTGTCGTACGACAAATTTTTCAAGTCTGTTGATTGGCTGTGGGAGAGAGAGATCCGAGGATTCTTTGTTCTGTGCACATTTGTCATATTACAAAAACGCACAAATGAAATAGCACTCTTAAGTAATATATACTCGATTTATACTTCGATCTTAAGGACGTTCTCCGACTGCAGTTATGCTCAATCTAATGAGCACATTAGTGCTCACCATTATGAAAATTTTTATAAAAATTTATTTCACTTTTATATAATATAAGATATTCCATAAATATTAATGTGTTTATACAAGTTTTTTTATACAATATAAAATGCCTCCCATCTTCGTTACTGTCGGTTGAAAAAATAGCGATTTTACTTATTGTGTTATTTATTTTGCTTAATGATTTCTTAAAAATGAATACCGGAAGTCATATTCGGACAAATTTCGTATTATTCCTTGTGATATCAAGTTTTATATGTCATTGTTTCAAAAAATTGTTAAAAAAATTTTTTTACAATGAATAAAAAAACCACTTTCAAATAAGCTTTAGATAGGAGTATATATATATATATATATATATATCCTATGT